ATTTTGTCTAAGTCGCTGACAGATTTCTCGGTCATACAGTGGTATTGCGCATTGTTTTCAGCATCTGTTTACCAGGTTCTATGCACCCATTTACAATCAGATATACGGATTACAAGGTAAATAGTAACCGTAATGTTTGCACACGCTTCATGAAACCACACTTGGTACCTATAACATTACATACCGCAAGTGACAACCAGTATGCAACCGGGTCACTTACAAGTGCTTCCAGTGACCATGAAGAGTTATCGGAAGTCCATAAAAGTGCGAATCAAAATGAAGCAAATAAATTAACTTACAATGAAAAAAGTCGATAAAACGGATAAAAAGGGGTTCGCCATACACAATAGGTTCTATTTCTTCCCGAAAAAAACTGTGAACAGCAGACGGTAAGCTAAATTAAGACTTCAACTAATTGTTAATTGAAGTGAAGCCAGGAGAAAAAAGAAGGCTAAAATGATTCATTAGTTACGTCTGAATACTGCATTAGTTTAAAATGTGCAAATTGCATCGAGACAATAATTCACATTCGTGAACCGCGCATTCTTCAAATCGTGGTTCTGTACACTGAGCATGATAGATCATACATTTATCGGCCAAAAAATTCAAGAGACTAATGACATCGCTGTGGCGCATAAATGTTTCAGTGCATTTGAATATGTGTTGATTGGTGGCACGTTTGAATTCCAACAAATCAATTAGTATTATTGCAACTAATACTGCTTGGTGATGATCTATAATTCCACTGCGAGTTTTCTTTCTCTCTGTGTTTAAATACGTCATACAAAAACAGATCTTAAGTCCATAGCTGACCAATCCATTATTATATTGATTAACATATATGGAACCATGTTCTATAACCTTGGGAGGACCATCCCTGTTAATCCGCAGTTCCATCCTACTGTCATCTCCGATGAACGGGATCAAGTGAATACTCTTCGGATCCTTCGGGTTGTAATGCCTATATAACATGCGCAATAGACTTATTTACCGACTGAATTATGGACACCTCGGCTACACCCTTCAGAAGTTTCAAATACTAAAAAAGATCTAAGTGTCTTAGTACCAAATGATTTAAATTCTGAAGCTAATCGTTACTTGGAGATTTTGAGAGAAAAATTTGTACTCATAACTCTTGAGTGTACTTTTCTCCAGTTTGAAGGCATTATCCTTATTAGTTTTTACAGTTTTACCCAGCTCCATTTAAAGCATGGAAATATGACATTTCTCCCCTCATCACGGAGAGCAAGAATGCTGTGGAGTATAACCAAATCTGAACCACGAAACTAGTTCGAGGACTAAATGTCAAGCCCTGAGAAAAACTCCTTAAATTCCTGGATTTTAAACTGTAAGAGTGTAGGCTACTCAGATGTGACATTTTAACGACTAACAGTATCATAAACATCGAATATAACACCTAATTAATTCCAGCAACACCACAAACATTGAGGAAAGAAACAATAATTGAGATCACAACATAGTAAACTTTATTTTAGGAATACCTTCCACCCTTTACAAGCCATCAGTTCATGGAGTTTGCTACCCAATGGAGTGGCTCTAGAGAATCCCCAGAGGTTTTTCAAGAGGACTCACGACATACAGTCATTAAAGATAGTATTTAAAACTAGTCTACCAATGCTTATATGGCTTTTGCTTATTATATCTAGGTTCCTAATCAGAAACTCGGATGGTTCTCTACTACAGGAAACGGAAGATCTGAAAGCGAAATCATCTACAGTTCTCTCCATGAAGTAACTCTGCTTGGATTCGAACACGACTTCAGTCATATTAAGTCCTTAATAAGCAAACTACTCCCAGATACAGTTTCAGGAGTTAGCATTTGTTAGCTTTATAGAATAGGACGAAAGGTGGATTCTGAAAGCCCTCAGAAAAACCGCCTCTTGAAGGTAACATTTGCCACGGTTGAAGAAAAAAACTTGATTTTAGGTAACTCACGCAAACTGATTGGATCCGGAACATATGTCCGTGAGGATCTCAGCCTAGCTGATCGTATTAAGAGACCAGCTGCAGAAGTGGAAATAAATGAGCGTCGCCGAAACGGCGAAAGAAACCTCATTCTTAAAAGTTTTCAAATTGTAAAATTTCGGAACAAAATGATCCCCAAACCACTCTGGGTGGTAAGGGAAAGTTCTCCACAGACTTAAAGGTATGCTACACAAATGCTCGCAGCCTACTAAATAAAATGGTGGAGCTTAAGTCAATGGTGGATAAAGAGAAACCGGATGTTATTGCTGTCTCAGAAACTTGGTTAACCCCGGAAATATTAGATAATGAAATTCACTTAGCTGGTTTTTTATCCAGTAGGGCTGATAGATTAAATCGTAGGGGAGGCAGGGTTATCCTGTACACGAAAAGTACCCTAACTATAAGAGTGGCTGAAACAGTGACACATGTTTCAGGAACATGTGAATCAGTGCGATGTAGGCTGAAATGTAGACGGCAAGTCATTAAATTAGTTGTAGTATATCGCAGTCCAGAATGTGTTGTAGATGATTTTCTCCTAAGTAAACTTAAGTCCTGGTGTAAAAAGGGTAAAAACCTTGTAGTAGGCGACTTTAACGCACCGTATATAAACTGAGTAAACTTAGAAGTCGGGTCATCGATAACGTCATTCGATTTCAAACTGTTAGAAACATCGATTGCATTAGCTTTGTTCCAGCATATTAGAACTCCCACAAGATATGCCTTAAGAAACTCCTCTCTTTTAGATTTAGTCTTCACACACGGTTATGACGTTGGTCAAATGACTTTCCTCCCACCGCTAGGGCAAAGTGACCACGCAGTTATCTTATTCAAATTCGTGGCTGAGATCGCCTGTCAAACAGCTGCGCCGGCGCGTCCTAACATATGGAAGGCAGATATGGAGGCCATCAACTCCGCAGCATCGGCTGAAAACTGGGAAATTGACTCAAGAGCATCAGTACAAGAGGCATGGACGCATTTCAGGCAGTTATACAACCGGGTAAATCAACCATACATACCATTGACAGTCCCAAAGGAGAAGAAACAAGGAAATCCCTGGATAGGCAGGGATATTCGACGTTTACTAAGACAAAAGAAGAAATGTTGGGATGTCGCCATCCGCTTTGGCACACCAGGTACGATGGAACACTACAGATCGGTAAGAAACAAGTGTATAACAAAAATTCGAGAAGCTCAAAGAAAATATGAAATGCAGTTGACACAATCAGCACTCAAGCAGCCCAAGAGAATATTCTCGTACATAAACTACAGAACAAGGATGCATCATTGGATTCCAAATCTAATTAAAGAAGTGAGTGAATCTGAAACGATAGAGGAAGATCAGGACAAAGCAGAGGCTATGGCTGGCTACTTTGGGGCAGTTATCACTCAGGAACCTCCTTTGGACAAAGAACCAGACAAAAAATAAGGAGTCAATAAACCACCTGCTCGCCGTGGACTTTGACCAAGACGATGTGCTTAAGGTTCTTAGCACCTTAAACATGGAAAAGTCAACCGGACCAGATGAACTACACCCTAAAATATTGAGACGTATTGCACAATATATCGGGGCCCCACTGACTGTGATATTCAATATGTCACTTAATCAAGGTGTATTACCATACATAAAACAGGACCGAGACAAATTCTATCGAACTACAGACCTGTAAGCCTCACCAGCGTTGTAGTTAAAATATTGGAAAGAATAGTCAAAAGGACAATAATGAAATTTATTGAAACAAATAACTTGTTAAACATAGAACAACATGGTTTTAGAAAGGGTCTATCCTGTACAACAAACCTTTTAGCAAGGGAATTCTGGATAAAGGCGCTAGACAACGGTAACTCAGTGGACGTTGTCTACATAGACTTCAGTAAGGCTTTTGACAAGGTGCCAACAAATAGACTGCTATTGAAGTTGGAAAACCTTGGTATTGTTGGACCCCTTTTAAAATGGATTAAGGATGTCCTAGTAGGTCGTAAACAGAAGGTAAGAATAAATTCCAAGTGCTCCATATGGAGACCAGTACTTAGTGGAGTACCTCAAGGTTCCGTCCTAGGTCCTTTACTTTTTATACTATATGTAAATGATCTTCCAAGTAAAGTACAGTCTCCAATGTTATTATACGCTGACGATGTAAAGATCTGGCGAGTAATAACTGGAGACACAGACTCAGATGCTTTTCAGGCAGACCTAATTAATATAATTAACTGGTCTAAAGAGTGGCTGATGCCTATCAATGCGGCAAAGTTCGTCTACATGCTTTTCGGGGACTCAAATGTTAATAGATATAACATAGGGGAAGTGAAATTACCAGTGGTTCGGTCTCATAAGGATCTGGAGGTGACAGTCAGTCAGGATGTTAAGACGACGACCCATTGCCGGGAGATCGCAGGTAAGGGGTTTCGAACCCTCTGGGCTTTAAAACGGACATTCACAAAGCTAGATACTATCATGTTCAACAAAGTATACACGTCTTTAGTGAGAACTAAACTTAAGAACTGCGTTCAGGCTGCAAGCCCATGTTTAAAAGGTGACTCGGATATCCTAGAAAAAGTACAGAGGGCAGCTACCTGTGCAATTCCAGAACTCCGGGGTTTACCATACAAAGAGCGGCTTGAAAAGCTAGATCTCTTCACACTGTCCTATCGCAGATTAAGGGGAGATTTAATTTTGATGTACACAATACTGAGAAATGATTTTGGACCTAACTTAATCTCTCTTTTTCTTCCCACTAGATCGGGACATCTCGGAGGACATAGCAGGCGAGTAGAAAAGCCAAGAACGAACAAAATACCCGTGGCGTACTGGTTCTCACACCGAGTCATCAATACTTGGAACCTACTGCCCGAAGTAGTGGTGTCCGCACTCTCAATTGACTCGCTCAAGAGAAGTCTTGACACTCACAGAAGCATACTAGAAAAGGAATAACATAGGCCATAGGCCTTCTGTCCTTACTTTACAAATCTGAAATCTGAATATTGAAACGCCAGCAACTTTTGAAGAGTCAAGGACGATGTCATGTTTTTGTATTGTATGTCCACTCTTTAAGTTAATAAAACCATGGAGTAATATATTTCAACATAGTGATGTATATAACTAGCTGATAGGTTTTGTTTAAATAGGAAAATGGTCTTATGAGACCTGGGGGTGCACTTGTAGTGATGAGAAAAGGAAAGTAATATGGAAAATAGAAATAAATCAAAAATACCACGGTGAAGCAGTATTTTTCTATTTGTCTGTTATTTCCACATGACTGTGGCTTGATTTCAGACGTATGTTCTCTCTCGTTATGTTTGCCATTGATTACGGGTGTAATTTCTCTTTAACATATATATTTTCTTCCGATTTCCGACTGAATTACTCTAACACACATCTCATTCTCTGTAAAAATCGTTTGAGTAAGTGCTCAGTAACATGACGGGTTGGCCACTATGAAACTAAAAACAATGACTCGTCGTAATCAATAAGACATGGTATTCGACGCTACTCAACTTCAAACGTCTGCTGCAGACAAGTATCTGTCGGGAGAATTCTAAAACTGAAGAATATAATGTATTCGTCTACTTGATATGACATTTGTTTCGTGTGTGGCATATCAGTATTATTGAGAACAACATATAAGACGTTACCAAGCACACCGATAATTAGATTTCATCTCTCGACGATTACTATGAAAATAAGAAACTAAGACAACATTTAAACTATACTTCGAACGATGATAATTGCCAAATGAGGATAGTCATCCAAAGCTGAGTGCAATAAGACGTGCATCTTTCATAGATCTGACGGGTTCAGAGATGCCTCATAGATCATAAAAATGTGTTTTCGTAGCATATAAGACAGTAGCTTCTAAACCTTTCATTGTTGATCCAACGAAATATGGTTTGATGACAATTGTAAAGGCGGTATTCGTTCGTGGTCGTCTCATATCTTATCGGATTGTAGAATTCAAGCTGGATGGTGGCAATAATAAATGTATTTATTGTCATATTCCAGTGAATAGAAAAATTGTGTTTTTGTTGTTTCGTGACTAAATGCAAACCATTTCTTCGGGGTAATTAAATATTTGAATTAACATGTTTCCTTCGTACTATTTAAACTTGTGTTAATTCAATTCGGTTACTTATTTACTCCGAACAAGTGGTTTGCATTTAGTCACGAAACGTCAGAAATACAATGTTTTCACTCATTGGGATATAACAAAAGCTATATTTATTATCAGCCTTCTACCTAATGGTCAATTTATTTGAAACTATCAAGTCCAACCTAGGCATTGAATAGTGGCAATTTTAGATATCATATTTTGTTCCCATCCGTGGTTTACCTTTAAGTCAGATTGTCAGCGAATTCAAAATCCTGGAGGCTTACATAAATACCCCTGTTTTGGTCTTTTAGGGCGTCCTCTCAGCTAATCAACTTTCCCTTATTTTCCTGATAAAAGTCAAATTCGCATCATGATCATGTGGTTTTAATACTTACAGTAGTTAGGAGAGAATCTTGAAACACGTCAATCATAACGTTACTTCCTTTTTTCATACGTGGCTTATTTGTTTGACTGTCAGTTGGATTATACTGGGTCAACATTTGTTCAGTAATCACGCTGCCTGATTTGACATAATGGGTAGCTGCTTAGTGTGTGGTATGACAACAGTGATGTGTGGTTCGTATTTGATGGGGGTAGCCGATCGTTTAGTTAGTTCTCATAAGCTGTTTGCTTTCAAATGTATAATGAGGGGTTATGTTTTGTAAGTACATCATGGGGCAATAATTTAAAGTATCTAAATGAGTTTCATCTGAGTCATTTAGTTTTCAAATATTAGTTTTCCAATTGATTCTGACTAGGGAATGAATTTAATGCTTGTCAAACTGATTTGGATTGAACTCTTAATATTCTGATTTTATCCAACACAGTCCATTAGTATGCAAATCAAAATTGGGTCCCAACTTGTAAAATTAATTCATTATATTGGCTTTGTCTCGATTGTGGGTAATTTCACTCATTTTTATTTATTTAATTCTAAAATCTGGTACAACCGGACGAAATCAAGATGGAATTGTGAAGAAATAAGCAAGGGAAAGGGAGCACAATCAAATAAGTAAATAAAAGGCATAGTATACATAAATTACTGCTGAGTTAAAAACACAACCAAGAAGAATTTTTCAGTCAAACGTGTTCCTCTTTTTTATGGAGAATTTAAGATAAAACTACAATAGTCTCTACGAGCTCCCATTATGAGCTATGTGTGATAGCGTTGTACCAGTTAATGCTCAATCAGTATAGATCGACATTGACCTCACCGGCGCGTTGTAAGCTCGATCTCTTACAACCAGAATAACATAATAATGACACGAAAGATGGCCTAGGTTGGGATGTAGGGCTCTGGTTTAGATAATGTCTGAACCGATTTCACTTGTCACGTCAACATCAGTATAAAATGACATAGATGCACTGGCTTTGTAGTTGCTTCCAAAAGCCCATAACAAAGAACGAGTGCATAAAATTGTATAATCTTTGAAGTCCATTGCGCTTGGAAATTACATAGTACATGCCGTACCCACAGACACTAAAAATTAATTAAGTATATTTTGAGTTGGTTGTGTATCACCACACAGCAAAGCGACTCCATGCACATATTTAGGGTTGGAAAGTCCAGGTATCAGATGCACCACCACTGAGTACTTCCTTCAGAGCTGTTTATCAAGATGTGAGTGACAGACCCTTTTAGAACGATACATTCAGATGTTGTATTTCATTACTCTGATTAAGTCCTCTGTGTAAAAAGCCTTAATAATTAAAAAAAACTCGTACGCCTACACTTTTTAAGCGGATAATCTGGGGCTTCAGCTGAATCAAAGGCAGCCTCGAGCTGAACTAAAAAAGCGATTGTTGAACTCCAATAAGTGATGTCCCAGGCTTTTAAAGGAAGAACATGATTAATATATTCACGACACAAGCAAAATCCGACCTGTAACTGGCGAGTCAGTTTTTCACAATGTTTGCAAAGTCTGTGGAGTTTGACGTAATCCAATATTGTGGATGCAGTCGAAAATAAAATCATCCCCAGGAAGTTGTTGGAAAAAACGTGGGGCTTTTTTAAAGACGGGGACAACATCGCCTTATTTTAGGATGTTGGAAAATCAGTTCCCAAACCTTTCCAAGCAACCTAACCAATTTTCTGACTAGAGGTTTGCCATCTTCCCTTAAAATAGCCAAGAGGACGTCATCTGAACCCGGCGACTTGTAGTGCTTTACAAATTAGAGTTCCTTGGTGATCTCTTCATTAGGTGCCATCAACTACACAGAGCGTTCCACTTAGACTAGACTTGTTGCTGGTGGGCTCGGCCGTGTTGAAATGGTTTCTGGTAGTTATCAGATTCAGCTTCTACTTCCGACTTGTTAGAATGCTGCGACTACCGCGTTACTTGATCCATACACAAATTTTGGAAGATTTCTTGAAGTAAAAATCTAGTTGTATCATCAAACGTTTTGCAGGAGTAGGCCGGGGTGCCTCAAGACATAAAGGCTAGTCTTCCGACATAAACAAATGCTGTGCTTTGTGTTTTGTAAGTGAGTAATATTCCGAATATTCAATACATAATGCGTTAAACTAGATATAATAACCGTGATGCTAGCAAATATGAATCAGAGTAGAAACCAGCATTGATCATACTGTAGTTTACTACTAAACGTATAAACTGTTTGGCAAGACCGTCTGAGATATACTTTGTGGTCGTGTTGTGTGAAATGTATCCTTTTATATTTATCTTTGTTTCCTTTTTCATACCATATAATTTTCCCTCTTTTTTAACGTTATTTCAATGGTCACTTTCCCTTGTTTATAGAGCATCTCAGATACAAGACTAGGGGCTTATAATTAATATCGTACTTTTAATTTATTTTTCATTAAGAGAAAAGCCTTAAACAGTAGAATTTTCTGTACTCTACTGTTGGTCACATTTATTAAAGTTTAGGTACATTAGTTGTCTTCTAACATTAAATAAAATAAATAAGAATTCAAACTAGTTAATTAAAAATAGAAAGTTGAGTGCTTAAAGAAGCAAGCTACAGTTAAAACATCTAGAAACACTAGCCCGAAAGATATACAATTACAGAATAAAATAGTTCAACGTTAATGTAAAGCTTGAATCCTTCATACCTATATTATCGCTTTTTGTCATAGTGTACTTTGTGACAATAAGGTGTGTTTTTAGGAGCTGAATATAATTCAGCATCGTTGTTTAGGTTTTAGAACTGCTCATGATCATGGATCGATGTGTACAGTAGGTAAGTGGATTCAGACGTATAAAGTGGAGCGACGGATGTTTTTTTCGTTTGGTGGTCCATATGGGCAGCAATTTAGACTTTCAGCAACTAGTTTACTTTCCGGTTCTGTGGAAGTTTTGAAACGATGCTGTAAGCATGGTTATTGGGATTAATACAGCATACTGAGTTCTCTGTAGGAATTAGCGCAATTATTTTTGTCCCATTACTTAATAACTTCTTATTTTTGTTTAATAAGATTCCCTCTAGTTTACTTGCTTCTCTTTATAAAATTCGTTATTAAGCAGGACACATTGAAGTTAGTTAATTTTCTACATGAAACTTATTTTACTGTTGACTTCAGTGATCGGTGAAATTTGTCCGTTAGGGTTGATGAGAGCACAATGAATCATGGCTTCTGCTTGTCTATATTTCTTGATTGTTTAGTCTATTGAGAACCACTAGTCACTAACTCAAAGTCTGGTTAGCATACTCTGCATTGTTTGTTATATTTTAGTGCTTTTGGCGATGTTTCAAAAACAGGCTTACAGAGAAAAATGCAGAAATTCTTAAAAAAATCCTGTATTATATCAGTAGTGCAGATAATCAAGCTAATGAACAGGTTAGTCAGAAAGGTACCTTTATAATACTGTCTACCATTTTAATCCGTTTGTAGCAGCATATATCTAACTTCCGAATCAATTAATAATTTTTCTCATGTTTGTTCATAGTATAATCAAGCGTTAATTCAAATGTTGTGTAGTTCATCAGTCCCTTAGGTACATATGAACATAAGTTTCTCCACGTCAGTGGTTTTGTCACAAAAACAAACCGTGACCTTTCCGTCTAGGCTTCGGTTTGGGCACCCGGGCAGTATCACAGCCCTCACACAAATCAATTGAGATTTGTGTGGCGCATATGTATTTGGTGCCTCCCTGTACCTATACTTATGTGTTAAAATAAATAAATAAATAAATAATAAACGTCTAGGCTTTATTTTCTGAAATTTCTTGACTACTAGATCATAGGTCAAAAAGGGAGTAGTAGTGAGCGATGAGATGGGAGACACAGACGGCAGATATCAGCGATAATAGAAAACTATCCATACTTACTATGGAAATGGATTAAAAAATTTTCGTAGCGAAGAAAATGTAATTCAGTGATCCTCTTTTAACCCAAAAAACTGAGACAGCTCCCACTCGTTACTTTTCGGTTGCCTGATATCAGTTAAAGCTGAAATGGTAAGTATTCATCTGGCTTCCGAATTTCGGTATTAGTAGGATAAACCTCAAGACAGATACTTAATATTCACTTGCATTTGGTCAACATATGCTACCTATGTTTGTGGGTTAGCTGAGTCTCAGTGATTTACTAGGTAAAGGTTTTGTGTACAAATTAGAACCACATTGTTTAAGTCCTAGTAATACTGCTCGGCTGCCTAAATTAAAATACGTCAAATGGGGCTCAAACCTTTAGCTTGCTTTTCGAGGACCGAATTCTTGAAATATTATTCGAATGTTTCAGAAGGCTCCTACACACGGTACAAGTGCTCAGTGTATTACCGTACTGTCTTACGTTCACTGCAAGTTTTGTGCTACTTACTGAGGAGGATAATGAGGACATAAGATCAATAGTCTTATATAAGTCAGCCGACAAATATAGAAATAAGTTGTCAAACAATTGATACAAGTTTTGGGCCTTCGGGCCGAACTTATATGGTGTGGCAGTTTAGGCAAGTTTTCATGTCATCCTGGATTATGACTGGTTGACTTCTCTTATCTATGTACCGAATATATTATGTGAAACCGAATAAGTTGTGCAAGTAAACCAAAGCGCGTTACTGAATAACTCGGTAAAATAACTAATATTGTATCTGTTTGGACTCGACTGTCAAGTTTGCTGTACGTTGTTTAGAGTCAGTGGTCTAATGTTTCATTCATTATGACTTTTTCTATATTCAGTAGACCGGTTTGTTTTTAACAAGCGTAAAGTCTGTGGTATCTAGATCTTTATAAGCTTTTGTAATATATAGTAATAAATAATTATATTGCTCTTTGCCTTTCAAGCTCAACTATGTAATTCAGGAAATATATATGGCGATATCGAATGAATATATGGACAGCACTATTTTTCTTGAAAAGCTGAAAAGCACCATAATAAAGGGCAAACAATTGCATAAATCCAGTCATGATATTAAGTAAGTAAATTATGTCTCGTCTCCTCAAGTATTTAAATAAAAATAGTGAAAATATGTTTTGTCTGATCGAAAGATGTTAAAATCCAATTTTTAGGATCAATAATCAACATTCGGATACTTTAAAAGGACATAGGAAGTCGGAGAATTGTTCTATACAATCGTTTCCTCAGTCAGTAAATAATTGTAGTTCTCAATTTTCAGAATACAGAACTGATGAGAAAAATTATGAATTTTCTCACTCCCAACTTCAGTTAGTTTTGAGAATGGAAGGCATCCGTGATTGGCTCAATTTAATTACTTCATGTGGCCTATTAAATGAACTTGACCCACCACTTCCACGAATTTCTTCAATAGAAAGGCATATACGGATCGGATCTTGGAACCTTAACCGTTTCGATTTAAGTAAAGCTAAACATCCAGGATTCATGGAAGTTGTTTGCCTGACCATTTTACGGATGAACGTTTCATTAATATTGCTTCAAGAAGTTTCAGACCCTTTAGTTGCTGATTATGTAAGTTGTCTCTCGATAAATGTTTTTGGATTATTACAACTAAAACATCACATTAGCTCTCTTCCCTTTTGACGAATGTACGAATAATTACTGGAGAAGGTATCCTACAGGTTACGTTGGACTCATCAATTTTATTTCATAGCAAGTTCTTTAAATAATAGTCATTGACTTTGTATGGTTTACTGTCTTCATGTTTTATTATATTAGTCAGTGTAACATTTCAGACCAGTAGTGCACGTGAATACAAGGTTTTTAATTTAACCGAAAATACGTATGTTATTTTTACTCTGTATACGTTTATAATTGCTAAGATAGCATGCCTTTAACGTTTATTTATTAGGGGTGATTCGTGTAGTTATTGATTTGTTTATTAACTTTTGAATGCACTTTTGCTCGACTAGTAGCATATTTCTTATTTATGTATTTGTGACGGTTTTTCGTGTTCATTATTTTCCTGAGAGTTGATCTGTGGTAATTAGCCTGTAATTTTCATCTAGTCAAACTGTAGATGATCAAGAACTTTGTTGCGTATAGGTTATAGTATAGTAAATAGATAGCATTAGATGTATAATATTATCTTCAGCTGGCTGGTTTCTTAGAGTGAACTGCACATATTTATCTTCTTGAGATCTTAGAAAGACAAGACATGTATTCGAGCTGTTGCATTTCGAAACAATCCACCAGGTGAAACAGAAAACTGTAAAAAGGAATTAGGAAAAATAAGTACATTAATAAGACGTGAGAGTGATTGTGGCTAAAGGATTACAATTTTAGCTTATATATATGGTAGATATGTTTGCACCATTGTGTCTGGTTTTGAAATGTGTTACATAGTATCTTCAAACATCCGCCCTTATTATCCCACAAATCCATTCCCAGATTGGTGACAAGCTGAGATATGACCACAGTTCATGTAAGTTTAAACTCTATGGTACATCTAGTTTAAAAATATGGTTATTCTGGCGATTCTTCCCAGCAGTATTTTATCAAACTAGGCAATTTGTTTCCTTATTATTGCTGGTACATATTGCTATTCATTCTAGTTGTGCAATGAGCTGAATTATCCATCTCTTCCCCACATAAAACGATGGGTTGAAAAATTTCCTCTGTCTACTCCTCCGTACTGGAAAGCATCATGTTCAATCCAACCAACTGGTTCCATGTTCCGTGCAAAAGAGTATGCCGTCTTTCTATATAATTCCCGATGTGGTATTCGGATTTCTCGGACAAGTTTATTGGAAAAGTCTTCGAACTCATTACCTGTTTCAAGAAAGTCGTTTACACGCAGTCCATGTGGAGCCTCCTGCCATGTATGTAACAAAAAGTGTTTAAAAGCAGATGTTAGTTTAGAAATATTTCATTTGTTCAATTTAATCTGAAACCATGTGCCATGATTTTGGCTGATCTGATAAAACTTAGTGATATACAACTATTCAATTATCATAGGCCCACTTTTCAGTACCGAACTGCTTATTTTTTCCAGCGTTTTATTTTTCGTTTTTCTTAACCTATTGTCTGTGATATGCTATACCTTTGTCTGTGTAATTTCACCTACCTTTCTTCTATTCGACTACTTATCATTTTAATGTTTGACATAGTTTCGAAGTTATTATTGATCAACCTATTTCGTCAACTGGAGAACTGTATTTACGTAATATTCGAGAAACTTGATCGCACCACCAGCCCTTATAAAACAAATGTTACTCATATCTCCAAGGATACATGTGTATATGGTTATGAAGTGGTATTTGTTTTTGTTCATCAATGAGCTAATGAGGACCAAAGACAGTTATTACATCATTTTGATATGATTATTACACGTAGAGACTTACTCTTGAAATCTGTTGGAAAATCGTCACTCATTTTATAAATATCTGCAACGCTATCATCAATTGCTATGTACATGAATTGTTTTAATTTACTTTCAGATTCAACATGTTAACTTAGTTCTCATTTCAGTACACTTGAAGGCAAGTGGATTAAGAAATAGTCAAATTGGTAGGACTATCTCAGAAATCGAATCTCTCGGCTATCTTGTTCAAGCTTTTTATGAAACACAACCTAGTAAGTATACTAGTGTTTGATTATATGTTTTCGTACGATTGTTGAGGGTGAACAGTTCGAAATATTTACGTGTGAAGATTATTAAGAATATCCAGTCCAATGATTCTTGAATTTTTATTATATTTGTAGTATATGACTAAAGGAACTCATTTTTATTTTTAACACTAACAAAGAATTTTTCTTGCTTAGTAACTAGTTATGTTATTCGATGAACAGTAGTTCTTAAAAATATTCACTTCATAGTGTTTTGGATTCGTGGAATGGCTGTAGTCAGGGCCGTCCATTTTCGACCTTTAGATTTAATATGCATATCATCAACCGATAACTCTTATGAATCTATGATACCGATGAATAGATTTTGACGTACAAAAACTGGCATAATGTCAAGGAAACAATCCTAATTTTTTGAATGCGAACCAACATATTTCAGTCATTTCCGAGCCTTAAGATTGTTAAATGACTTACACGCATTTTTTTTCACAGACAAACTTCTTTACAACGTATTTCCAAGTTAATATGAATCGTTATTTATTTTTCAGGTGGAACATATCTTATTATAGCTGGTGATTTTAACCTCTTCCCAACACATGAAGGTTAGTTTAGATCCATAATAAATAGGAACTATGTAACTGATTAAATCTCTCCGAATAGACTTAGAAGTAAATCATATGTATTTTGTTATGCGAATTATTCTACGTGAAATAACTAGTGAAAGTTTTTCACAATCTAACAGCGAAATTTTAGTGAGACTGGCAATTGTAAGCAATTTATTCTATTTACGAACACTGCTTCACATAAGATATATTGCTATACAGCTTGTAAAGTGTGATCGATAAACGACGACACCAATGATAAGGTGAAACGCCTACCACCACATTAACTTTCCTTGACCTTGTATGACTGTACCTTGTTTATTCACCAATCGTAATTTCATGTTCATTATAAAACAATATTCGCCTTGCTGACTCATTTTTCCTATGCTCTGGCTACTGTTCGAAACAGATAAAGTTTATCAAGCCAAATAGCTTACTTGTTCTGACTTTGGCTAAAGAAAAACTCGGTGTTCGACAGTCTAGAGAATAGCTTAGTTAAACCTGTAGGAAATTGCTTCCTATAAGCTGTTTGGGAAGCTATTTGTTAATACGTGGATTACGTAAAACATTATTCATCTAAAAAACTCAGAAAAAATCTAAAATTCGCTTGTAACGCTAGTGTTCATGGTCTTCAATTTAATCGTAGTCTTTTGTTGCGAATCGATAGTGGTCAAACTATTGATATGTTCTGTGACAGTATCGAGATATACAGATAGGTTCTGAACTTTTTTAAAAGCTTTTCCCTGAATGCGCGTTGCAGCCAGAAATCTTACAATGACCCGTCTATTACAAGTCTCTTGTATTACAATTAACTAGTTCCGTCAATAAAGTGAGGTTATTTACATTTTGTAAAGACATGCAATACCTACTCACATTGTAGTTTGTGTCTACTTGTTTTGTGATAATGAATGATTTTACTGGGTCGCATAAACCTTATATAAAACGGAATTTGAACACAACCCTAGCATTTGAAAACGATAATACTGAAAAACTGAAACAAACCAGATATCTAGCGGTTGATTTTCTTACTAAAACGTTTTTAGCAAGTATTTGTCGTCTTCATTCAAATAAATAAATCACTCTATTCCCACGAAGTAATTTGTTAGCATAACGTTTTTAAACTTACTCTCTAGAGATCACAGGGAATATATTTTCTCACATTTCCAGGAAACCAAGAACTCCATGTTTAAATAAGGTATAATGAATATCATATCCGTTTCTGTATTCTTAGGAACGACCGGTCTTAGTGCAAAATAGTGTAGTGAAATTTCAGGAGCAAAGTCAAGTAGTCAAGTTATGTAACATTCTAGTAAAAAAATACCATTCAGTCACTTTCTGAGGGATTGCATCTAACCAACTCAATGTATTGTATCGATTTAGTAATGGACACTAATTTTTATCAATTTTATCAATTAAACCAAGTTACTTGCACACATCATATGCAGACGTGGAGAGACACAAACTTTAAAGGAGAATGTAAAGTTTCTACAGTTATTGAACTGAACGCCATTATAGATGTTTTCCAAAGAATTCGCTGCTGAAAGACATATCCTTATAGGTTTAAGGCTCTCACGACTGATTTGTAAGCTACATTATTTACGATAATTAACGCTTTGACAGGAATAAATCCACAAGAACTCAACACAATCTGAAGATATTCATCATTACATGAGCTTCTATCTGAATAATTCCAGCAACAGTTCAAAGTTAGTTTCATAATACCTACTTTGAGTAGCAATTTCGGTTCTGTTGTATTTACAAGTTCGTTTTATCAGTAATTATTGTGTTAGAGAAAAAACACAGTGTTTATTATAACCACGTTTTATAAGTATTTTCGTTTTATTGACTAGTATTATTTTTGATAAAAGGATTTTCCAAACTCTTATCAATTCATTCTTCCTACATTATTGGAGGCAATACTTTAATAATTTCCCAAGTAAATAAACGTAATGGGATCAATAAATTTTTTATGCCAGTTAGATGCAAACACTCAAATATTCCTGAGCCGTTATGAATTTGTATTTAGTATACGTATAGGTTCATCATTTACTTTTGCTTGTAAATAAGTTGAACATTACGTAAATAATTTCCATAATTTTAATTAAGGCTCTCATGATTGTTAATTTAGATTCGCTTTATTTCTTGCCTCGTTATGCTGATTATCTCTATTTGTTTATTTAAAAGTTTATCGGGTATTGCGTGAACGTGGTTTATGGCCAGTACTCAAAGGTGAACAACAAACTACCATGAATTATTCTAAATTTAGATCTAACCATTTTAGAGCATATGACAATGCCTGGCTTTCTGCTAACCTCTCTTCGACTTCTGAATCCAATATTCGTTGGACTGGTGATTCTGGTGTCATAATAAAAGGGCTCAGACATCCTTTAATTCCGGAGGAAACAGGAAGTGGTGCAAATGGTCTTGTTAGTGATCACGCTCCCATATGGTTTGATATTCACTTAACGTAACAATGACCTATATTTATGTATAATTTTTTATTAACGAACTTATGATAACGTTGTACATATGTACTTAATAATAAAGAGCATTTATTTTGACAGCTTCACCATTAATCTTCTGCCCCGTAACCGAAGATTTGTTCACAGTCAAACCAAGATTTTTCGGTATCCACCTTGTAAAATTCTTCTGTGATTTGACGGCCAGTTTTCCGTGGTGTTTTCCGAATATTAGTCACCTAAAAAATATTTCAATGTTTACTTTTGCTTGTTATGTAGGGTTTTCTATATTTGTAATTGTATATCAATTGTTAGTCGAATTATCTGTACATATCTGTATGTTAATTAATTGACATTGGTACTATTTTACTCTTTATTTACGACAATTATTTATCCCAACTGTTGCGTACCCCTATTACATTAAGGTCTCCAGCTAAATATACTGATTTACTTGTTACGCTTTCTGCGTATACTTAAGATTTCCCCCTACTCAACTTTGTAAACTTTACAACGCTTAAATAACTATATCATCCCTTTTCCGGCCATTCAGATAACCTCGAAATGGTTGCTATTATATGTCATTAAAATAATTGTAAGTAATTCCATATACTGGAGTTCTTACATACTCAAGCAACTTACTTTGTCAAGTGTTTGAAGGTTTTGCATTTTAGGTGTATTCATTGTGAATGGGCTCAATTTCTTAAACAATGGAAATTCACATTCTTGATTCTGATAGCTTGGCTCTTTCTGGTTGTTCATCATGCTTCCATAATCAGGGGAAGCGAAAAACACTCTCCTACGTTTGGTAGCTGAACCTGGTTGTTTTAATATACTCTTCGGGGTTTTAGTAGGCGTTTCGGCCATATTCTAAGGTGAAGTTTTAAAGTGAACAAAAATTTTCCTCACCAAATTATCTAGCTTCAAGGATAACGCTGGTGATTTGGGAGTCTGAGTCACCTTTTCGTGAATTTCCTTCGGGAGCTGAGTACTAGCAGGTGGAGAGTTTGCATAAATTTGATGTTGAAATTCCTGATATTCCTTTTCTACAGATCGAAGTTTCAATAGTTCCCTATTATTCTCTGCTATGATCGTTTCTCGTTCAATTTGATCCTGTTTCATTTTCCTTAGTTCTTCATAAAGCCTTTGTTTTTCATCATTTGCCTCCATCAATTCTTTCTCCTGAACGTCAGTATTAATTTAGGTAATATGTTGCATACTTGATTTATTGCTTTTACTTCCAGCTTCTTATGTTCTTGCTCTTTTTTCATGAGCTTCTTTAGAATTTCCTTCTACAGTATATAAAAGTGTATTGATTAAAGAAATATATTGCTTAACGGGAAGACTGATTTACTGTGAACATATTTTTACAGCACAGTTGTTCGTCTCTGATGGATATTTATATCCATAGTTTGTTAAGTGCACGTAATCCACGAGACTTTAACGGACTTAGTTTTTAAACCATTTCTTACGATGGATTTCTATGCATACTTAGCTAAACTTCTCGTTTAACTCTGTAAGTTAGTGGGTCTATCAATATTAGTAAGCCCAACAATTTCTGTCAGATTAATAATTTTTATAATACACTCAACATTTATCTCATTAACGAGATTTAATTTTGTGAATCCTTTTTACTATAGTGAGAAGTTAAAACTGCTCTAGCTCTCTACTTAGTCTAATATGTTGATATAACGTTGAGAGTATTTTACAAAACACAGTAGAACCTACTAGAATGTATTTGGGTGAAAATTAGATAAATGGTCAAAATCGATGATATCACACAAGTTCTTGATATTATAAATATTCTTTTATCATTTCGCGTAAGTTTAATACAAAGTTCCTTTTTGCTATTGACTCTTACAGGAATTCATTTATTATTATTTTGTTGTGCGTTGATTGATACATCTGTCTATTGTATTTCTAGTTCGCATTTAGTTAAGCAAACAAACTCAGCAAGCAGAAGTAGCATGCTAGTGTTCTCAACTGTTAATAATGAACTCTATACTTATTGTGTTAGTACCAGCCTGGTTCCATTCGCTGGTTTCCTCCCTTTAATAAATCCTAGAAATATTTTTACAGTAAATTAGTAATAATATATATGACTAATATTTCTTAATTGGATTTGGAATGTTTATTTATCCCACCCCTAGCTCGTACTTACGAAATTGTAACTTGGTACATAAGTCATACTTGGACTCCTTAAGATTCTGGATGACAGATTTTGTTTAATTGAAACGAACAGTTAAACTTGTAGATTTATTGCTCATATTCAACAACCTATCACTCAGGATTGTACTGATACGTACATTCATAAGATAGCATATAAATGTCGATTAAGTATATCAGTCTTCTTGAAGATTCTTTTCGAGAGATGTTTCACTCAACTATATACGTTTAAACTTGTGGTCTTTCTAATCGAATAAATCATTTCCAACTGTCGATAGAATGAAAAGGGTTCTGAACATTTTTATTGAAAATTTGAGTTACTTTGCATGGTAAATGTAATCTATAATTTAAAGTTACCATCAGGTACTAATCTACGAATCTATGTCGTTTGATTAGGTAGAGTGAAGTACTCTTGCTTGCCAGAATTGATATTCTAATTTTGTGAGTGACAATATTAAATGTCTACCCAATGTACTAATGTTAGCATTTTATTCTGTGACGGACTATTTGTAGCATGTAGAGGTGAGGTGCTGCATAAATTTACCATTACTATTAATTTGAATTAGAAATCGTCAAATGAAAATTTTTGGTAATAATATCAATACTTGCAGGTCATTTTCGTATGACCTTGTTTTTTAGTGTGCATTATTACTTTGTTTTCTATTGGAAACTTTTCGTCTAGTATTGTGCACATACAACTAAAATCAATGGAATTATTTAACATTCAGTGTGTTTTTTATGGTTTAAAGTGTAAATACAGTGTGATTGATTAGAAAAGATTATTGAAATTAAGCCGTCTCGTTGTATCTAAACACATACTCATTTCAGTCGAGACTATGTTTGACTCCTTATTCTGTGGTACGTGTGCTAGAATTTTTCGTTTATGCGCAATTACTCAATTTATACAACATAAATCAGAAGGTTGTTCCAGACTAAGTTTTGGCAATCCGCTATTTTTGGAATGTTCTCACTGTGATGAATGTTATATCTCACCATTAGATCTTATTGCACATGTTGAATGTGCACATAGAATATCCATAATGAAACATAGATCGTCAAGCATGGTTAACGACAGTAACGGCTTCCTACAGGAAGTAATGTCAGTTTCAGACACAACAAGCTCATCCTTTATCGTCACTGAAGATAAAAGTAGCCATAACTCAATTAATTCAAACGATGGGAAGTTGGCACCCTGTCAATCGGTGAGTCAGGTGCCATCAGTATTAAGTTCTTGCTCAACAAACTACAGTTCAGTGGGTCCTAGCAGCTCTATTCCTTCGGTTGTTCGCAAAACATGCTGTCTTGTGGATGGAAGTTCTCCCTGTACTCAAATGTCTTCATGTCCAATTTTGTTTTCTCGTGATTCCGATGGTGAAGCAGAATCCGAATTCAGAGATAATTCTTTGAAGGTCTCGAATACTTCAAACCCAGATACGACGTCACTGTGTAACGAAGTAACTTACTGTACACAAACACCCCTTGCTTGTGCTGAACGGAAGTCACGATCGAATTTCATCTGTGAATACTGCAAAAGAGAGTTCTCACAAAAAGTACATTTACAAAAACATATAATGTCGACTCATACTAAAAACAAACCATTTAAATGCTCAGTCTGTTCTTACCAAACTGTTGAAAAAAGTCATTTAAAAACTCATTTCCGGAAGCATACGGGAGAAAAACCATTTTCCTGTACTCTATGCACCTACAAAGCAGCTCAGCATTCTACACTAAAACAGCATTGTATTAAAAAACATCGTAATGCATTTCTTTCCTGCAGAAGCTGCAGCGTTCGTTTTGTGACACTAAACGAACTTGAAAATCATCAAAAATTATGTTTTCCTTAGTTCTATTCATTGTCATTAATATTTGATTGTATGTTGTTGTTTTGAATTTTTTGTGTTAAAATATGTTTTATAATCAGCCCATAATACACATTAAATAACTACAGCTTTAATATGAAATAAAATACCTTTTCCTGATTCAGTTCTTTGGTCTGTTCTCTAAGCTTTTCTATAAGATTCATGGATTCATTTAGCTTTTTATCCTTGATTTTTATATTTATATTTAATTAGGACTTACCACCTTCTTGCTGCTTTTGGAGTTCTCAATATTTTTAAGATCAATTATCTCTTTTAAACTTTCAACTTCATCTTGCTTCTGTTTTATTTCATCAACTTGCTGATTCAATCTTTCTTTCAAAGACAACAGTTCATCTGTAATACTTTCATTTTGCTTCTGTAGCTCGATTTTGTCATTTTCCAGTCTTTGATTTTGTTCTTGAATAAGCTTTTCCCTTAACTTTTGCTGTCCAATTTCTTGTCGTGAGTATTCTAATTGTATCGTCACATCATTTATATTATTAGTAAGCTGGATTTGCTTCAAAATACTTTTCTCCTTTTCTTGATTAAGATTAACCAACTGCCGTTTCAGTTCCTCATGGTGCTCCTCTTTTTCCTAAGTGTATACGAAACTGAATGTAGTATAAAATGTTTCCCGGTGTAAATGCTTACTAGTGTTCATCGCATATTTAAAACGATCTTAAGTAGCTTTCTTATGTCTCTGTTGCTATCATCCCTAAGATTCTACTTGTTGTGTAGACCGACACAGCTAAAATGATAAACTCTGTGAATTGTATGAATAATTTTGAACTTATTTATAACCATTTCGCCGAACTGACTAAGTGAGTGCCGAGTAGATGTAATCTTTGAAAAATTACTGTGTTAAAGATTTATACGGTTTTACGATGTCCCTGAAACACAAAATAAGTATCTGATGTAGTTGAGAACCAAATATCGTTCATGGTTTTATGCTCTTAGATTTCAGTGTTGTTGCTGAGTCTATTGAAGTTGTCTTTTTCTTGTTTGTCGACGAAAAATAACAGGATTCTTAAAACGAGTCACTGATCAGTTTTCAATTCTTATACTCGATTTATTCTGATTTCTCTTGAAATCAAAACAACAGACTAGTGAGAACAATGTGCATTTTTAGCATTTCTTGAGGCATAATATACATTAAAAAGTTAAATTCGGGCTTAGGAGTCCTCATCAACTTATAATACCGCTATGTGAGAGATAAAGTTGAAAGGAAACATTTTAGTTGATGCATTTACTGGAAAAAAGGGACACGTCTCGCAAAAAGTTAAACTTGAAACGCGCATTTATCATTAACGATTACAGTCTGTCCATAAGGATATAAAGCTGCTTCTGGTAACGTAATTAAGACATGTGATACGTGTGCTCGACCACCATCTCCCTTATCGTGCTGTCATGAAGCGGTTAAAATGGAGTTAAAAAAGACCGGCAAAGAACATTGAAAAAACAAAGTACTAATCTATCAAGTCATAACTTATAAGCCTGAGGCTGGCTATGAACTGTTCTCTATTCATGATCAGTGACTGAAAACGTATGATGACTTCGATCAATCATCATGAACGTAAATCCTGATACAGATTTTTATTGGCCACTTTCTTCCGAATCTTGAAACAGGTATTATTCCCTAATCAAAATTTTTTTATTCCTGTTTCCTCTACGAGTTGCATTTTCCACTCTGAGCTGTCCATTACATTTGACATTGTTTTTATTGTTCGGTCAGTTTAATCAGATTTTTGTGTTGACATGAATTGGGAAAAATGGGCTGTGACATTTTCAGGCCCGGTTTTATGCTGACTACAACTGAGAAACTGACAATTTAATTTTGAACTGAGCAGTTTTATAAGCATTTCACTAGTTCATTCAAGAAAGTTGGAAAGAATATGATATTTACCCCTGTCGATTACGTTTACAGCGTATTAATAACTGAAATATTAGGTGATATGAGCTGATTAGGCTTTTTTCAGACCGGGATATTATCTCTGAGTACTAGTTTATATATATACATTAGACAACCAATTGACAATTGTATTATATTAACATCGGTTTCGCTTTGAAGTTTCCTGGAATATAAATCGATATTGTATCATTTAAAAGCTGAGCTGCTCAAAGATCGTTAAAATAAATGAAAAACGACCCAACAAAGTATGTAAGTATCATATAATTTTCACCCAAATCCATTTGCGTAATCTGTAAGTGGTAGAAACCCTAATTATCAGTAAATGTTTGGCCGCTTTGAAGGCTCAAAAAATGGTTTCTTTTTCCACGAAAAATCACCACTATCTGTTCCATTGTTTTTAGTATTTTAATCGGAATTACCAGTTCACCGTTGTGATCCACTCAACTCGAAAACAACTGATGAATATTAAAATAAATTGTGTGGTTCGGATTATTTTAACCGGAAGTCCCTATTGTGTTTATTACAACTTAGTTATTAAGTAATTTTATGAGTTTAGCACACGCATTACAAATTGATCTGCGTTAACAAATTGGTGTTTTTACAATAAACTCATAATAAAACTTAGAATCAAAGTGTACCAATAACATGCTAGGATTGACTGTGTAGCTAGATTTCTTTGGGATTTACGTTTGTACTTTGATAGATTTTGTTCTCCCAGCTTTATTTTGACGTCCAGTCTTAACCTATGTCTGTGATTGAAGCTAATCCTTGCTTTTAATTACCTTTGTGAACTAAAACTAACTCTTGCTAGTGAATTTGAATTCCAATAGCAATTATACCTAAAATATAAGTAAAACTGTACATGGCTTCTGGCTAAATAATGATACTTGAAACTTATTTTATTTCGCAATTGGTCCAAAGGTAAATAGCTGTAAGAAATAGCTTCTAGAAAGGAGATTTGTATGATTGTTTCCTGAATAATTATTGGTGGTAATTATTTACAACATGTAAAGTGAAGTACTCAACTAAGATATCTGTAGTTGCCTAAACGTAGTTGTTCTTAAAGAACGCAAAAGTAAACTGTAATATAGATTTGTTACTTTGTCTGTTTTGACAAAGCAGTATCATTTACTTAGCATAAATACATTTTATCAGATCAAATTTAATAGCATTTTATAGATAAAACCTAAACCTTGCCAAACAACCATGAACTTTTATTGATACAGTAACTTAAATTTAGTGGTCACTAAGTTTACACTTCCTAATATATACATATCTAATCCCAAAATGAAATTATTGACTGGTATGGAGTTTCATGTATAGAGTTTATATACACTTCTGGACTGTTAATAAATTTTATAAAGATTTCAGACAGATATTATAAACAGTAAATCATATTTATCTTCACCTTTATTTGATTACGCGCCTGATCAAGAGCTTGTTGATTCTTTTCATTGCTCATTTTGAGCTCGTAAAACTTTTTTTCGTAAAATTCAAGCGTTTCTTTGATCTTGGAACAATTTAGTCTAAAATGGTATTTAAAATTCATTTTGAATTAATACCTTTCTTCTTTTAGTTCCTTTTCGACTGCTCTTGCTCGTTCTGTTAAATCTTTTATTTCGTTTTGATTTAAACACGCCTTTTCCTATTTGATGGTAATTTCGTTAGAATCATATCTTACCTCTAAATGCTTGACTAAAGCTTCAGCTTTTAAACAACTCTCATTAGCTTCTTTAAAATTTCGGCTTTCGCAATCTAGCTGTGTGTGTAATGAGTTATTATCAAGCTTCCAAAACATGAACGATATTTTAGTATTAGTTACCTGTAATTTTTCATTTTGGATCTGACATTTTTTCAGTGCATCTCTCAGAGCATTTTCACTCATATGATAAAATTCTATTTCTTTCTCCAACTCAAAAACCTTTCTGTTTAGGTTTACCTAAGGTTATTTTTTCATGCATAAACTATCTCATTTACTAACTAGGTTTTCTCTGTCGATCTTCGAGATTTCATTCTCCATTACTAAATTAACTTCAAAAAAAGTTATGTTTTAAAATCAGTTTTACCGCATGTGTGATACAGACTTGATTCGAATTTGTGGATAACAATCGATCTAAAAGTGTGAAATGTAAATACTGTGTTTTACCTTTCGTTCATTTTCTGGATTAACTTTCTGATGTTTTGCTGTCCATTTTTTAGATTAATGACCGTTTCTTCTCTGTCGTTTCTTTCTCGAATCTGAAAGGAATTTAATTTAGCGATTATGTTTCCCATTCTGTTAGTAAGACATTTAAAATAGCTTTGTAACGCCATTGTCTGGTTTTCAAAATGAATGAACTTTTTATTAAGAATATTAAACATTTCTAATATGCATAAATTATTGTCTCTAATCTTTGCAACCAAATCTCTGAGTTCATCATTTTCTTTACTATTATTTTTCAGCATATATTCAGCGTTTTCTCCTTTCATCTAGAAGAAGTGTTTGGTTATTTTTTTATTATACTTTTTCCTCTGATATGGCATCTTCCAAATGTTTAATCAGTGACAGATTTTTCTCGTTGGTGCACATTATGGTTTTCTCCAACTCCTTAAGCTCAACTAATCAGTTACTTTGGAATAGATGTGACAAACTATTTTCAGTGCTAAGCTGATCAATCTCAGTTTGCAGTTGAATTATGTCGTTTTGATGCTTTTGTTGCCAATGAAGAAGCTCGCCTTGCTGTAAAAATTAGGTTTTTATAAATAATGATCCTACCAATGTTTTGTTTTTTTTGTCCATTGCAATATTTGATTCTTGTAGTGTTTTCAGATCTAATATCTTACCTGTAACTGTTTCATTTTACAAAACTGCCAAGGAAGTTACCTATTTTTTCTGATTCTTTAAATTTATGTAAACATTTGTTTGACTGCTCGATTAAGTTGTCTTTTATCGTTTTAAATATAGACACGATAGAATTATGTACGATTTCCGACTGACAAAACTTGCTCTTAACTGCTGAAAATTACATTTTTATTATGATTTCACTTGTTAGATTTGCCTCCACTAGTTTTTCGGCTTTAAGTTCCAATGTTGTGCACTGCTGCTTGATGGCTGAAAACCTAAATCACACGTATTTTGGGAATAAAAATCATTTTACTGTTCAGCCAATTTTTCTCTTACAGCCAGCTCATCTTTATATTTTAAACTAACGGTTTCCATATTCATCTAAATGAAATGCTTATTTAATTTCTATCATTACTTGAAGCTCAAGGTTTGCCTTTCGCAAGTTTTCAACAAGTGATTCATAGGACTGCAGATCTAGACACTATTCGGGGAAAATATATTTTTATTATTCGTACTTTTTCCTCTAATTTTGATATGGTACAACACTTCCATGTCTCAAGATTTTCTGCCTCTTGTCTTAGGCGCTTGTACAAAAATTTCAGACTAAACTGTGAAATACATGGCACATTTTACTTGTCGCATAATGTGTTTGATTTATCTTCAACTGAAAACTCAGCGACTGCTTTCTCATGAGCCTTTTCAAGGTGAGCCTTCACCTCTTCCGTATAATCTTGACATACTTTAGTGGCTTGATGAAAGTAAATAGAATCCTCAGAGCTCGTTGAGACATTTTGTGCGTCTGGTGATTGCATAAACGAGGCATTGGGCTTTTTGCTGAGAAAATTCAACATTGGTGATTCTGGAGCTTTTTTCGGAACTGCGATATCATCTAGTGGGGAGTGGGGTCTGGCGTGATCAAAACTATCTAAAGAAATGATAGACTTGTTATTATGTGGTTTCTGCGACGTATTTCGTAAATTGCTTATCTTGGGTGATTCTGGAGTA